TTCAAGAACACATACCATATTCACTGAAGATGACCCCACCAGAGCACAACCCCTCCTCAACTTTAATGAGCTGAAGAGTCATCCTAGGTCCAATCTCTTGAAGCTTGACAGCACTCTTCGTAGAAGCTTGGTTGACTCTACCTAGATCACTGGCCAACGTGACTGTTGCTGCTTCATCGTCAGCCTCGCTTTCTGACCCATAACCAGCCCTTTCAAACAACAGACGAGAAACTTGTAAGAAACAATCAGAGGCTAATGTAAGAACATGAGATAGAAATAGAATTTATAATGATGGATCCCTTTTCTTTTCTTTCCAGATTTGGATATCACATAGGGTACATTGCAAAGATTCACTTGAGCTCCTTATCAAACGAACCATATGAAAACCACTTAACATTTTCCCTATATTTTTGTATTGAGAAAACAAATTCTCAACGAAAGGTTGCTTTTCATTGAGAAAGAAAAAAAAAAAGATTAAAATGGATTGACATAAATCCATAACTTGATTAAAACAATGAAACAACCAACCAAATAGCTTACTTTGTGACAAAGTCGCTCACATCTTGAAGACTCCTAAGATCAGGAACTTGATGATTCTGAACAAACTTTCTAAGCCTACGGGTAACACCAACAGGCTGTAATCTGATTGAATAATGTCGGAAATCAATGAGCTTTGTGTCTTTGTTATAATTAAGCAATACAATTCTCTGGCACGATGAAAGTTTAACCTGATACATGGAAATTAAATTGTTGTTGAGAGTGAAGGAAATCTGGTCAGTCTGAACTTTCAGTTGAATTAATAAGAAAACCTACTGTATTTATATCAATAGCTGGGAAGATGTTCTGGAACATTATAGTAGTGAGCTTCAGATGCTGATCCCCAGTCCCAAAACCAGAAAGCACAATCTGCCAATAAAAATGTTAGCTGAATGATTCACCGAGCTAATTACATGAGCGCGATGAATCAATATGCCATCATGTTTTCCTCAAAAATGCTCTTTTAGCTTGTGTACTTCGAAAAACATTGCATATTGAGCTTGCTTATGAAACAAAACCAAAGGTGACATGAGAGAAAGATACGAATCGTAATTGTCAAAACTTCTCGCTTGGAAATAGCTCATCAATCACAGCACACAGTAAGATCCAAGACCTCAAACAGAGAACCAACAAGACAAACACCAAAAGGAACACGTTTATACAAGGGAAATTGAGACTATTACCAAAGGAGGATTCTTGAAAAGGTCTTTTGGACATCTCGGACGCAATTGCGATTGAGCAACATCTACTGCAAGCGAATACTCATGTATTTTGAAGTTAAGGGTAGGTCCCTGAGGGGTCCTAGCAACACGCAAATATGGAGCACTTTCAGTTTTGGAGAGTATAAGAAAATGAGTAACTCCCATAGGCCCAGCAACATTCAAATAGTCTTTAAGATTATTCCGTCTCTTCTCCTGCAAAAAACAGTCCACACACAAATAAGAAGAATACTTCCAGACATATCATTAACTTATTTAAGCAATCAGCACACAGGAAAGTTCCACTGACTACAAAGAAAGAACAATAAGAGTTTACCTTGAGATTGAGAGCAGTGTAAGGAAGCATCAATTTTCTCAAATCCATTTGCAGTTGCCTAAGTGGACCAGGTAACTTCCCTCTAGAAAAAACAAAACTCTTAGGGATTTTCTCCCCAGTAACATGATCCACATTAGACTGTTTCTTCGCTGTAATCGGCTTCACAAACCCCTTCTTCTTCTTCTGTTTCAATCAATTAACAACAAGAAAACTTAAATCTTATATAAAACAAGACAAAACCTATAGACAATAAACAGGTTACAAACGAACAGAACTAGCAAAATAAAGTGAAGATGTTCTTACGTTTCCAATACGAGCCATTGCTTGCTAGAAGAATAGTGAAAGGGAAGTTTCAGAAGCTTGCTGGCGAAGAACTCCTGCACCCTCCAAAATCAAATACACATATACGCAATGGCAACCCTAAGGACAAAAATCCGGAAATCGGTTCGATCACAGAACCGAATGGTGGAGAAGAACCGAACCGATTTGGATTCAAATCGGTCCAGCAACGGATTACAAGAGAGAAAGCGAGAGATGAACACAGCGTAAGATGGCAATTCAAGAGCGGCGGTGCCGACGGCGGCGAGGAGAAGAGAGGACGATGCGGTACCGTAAAAGTCTAGGGCGCGCCTGGTGAGGTGAGGGGTTTAGGGTTTTGCGGAGATTATCACTAAAAACAGCCAGACCGATCTGGTGAGTAAATTAGTAATAAATAGGTTTATTTATACCAAATACATAATTAAATTTCAATTATGTTCCCAAAAATTCCATTTTTACCCTTTCCCTTTTAAAATTTGGCCTATATTCTTCCCACAATTATGTTGTCTGTTAAAAATAAAATATGAAAATAGATAATTAATATTTAAGAAAATAAAAAATAAATAAAATTAAAATGATTTATTATTACCGTATTTTCTCCCCAGTAAATTGTTCTTGATGTTAAAATTCATCCTGCAAAATTGAATTCCCTTAAAAGCGAAAATTTGGCACTTGAGTCCAACTTCCTCCAGTCATCAATTGGCTAAAAAGGGTAAAAAAATGGGACTTCCAATGGCCCCGACACAAAAGATCCATAGTGTTACAATCGCACTTTTCTTGGCAGTGGATAGTGGATAGGCAACAGACCTAGGACAAACGTGACCGTGACACACAGCAACAACGTTTGTTTATTTGACCATTTGACCCATCACAAATAAATTTAGACTCCGAATGAGTAAACAAAAAGAAAAAGAAAAAGGTTCCAAATTCTTCAAAATATAAAAAACAAAATCCTGATTAGTGAAGCAAATAGCTGAAATTTAGAGCAACTATTGCAGAGAAATTCAGCATCCATCGACTCATCTCCTCATTTAGATCTGCGCAGAAGCTCTTCAGAAGGAACTTCTAGTGTAGCACCAGCATGTTCTTTACTCGCCTTCATTTCTGCAGCAATACCCATTAATCAAATTTGGCTATCAGACATTGTTTACAAGGAAAACCCAGTACATTTTTAGGAAGTTTGATATGTTAGTTAGAAGCTTGAAAAGGATTTCGATTGCATAATTCGAGGTTTAGAAATTAATCCTAGCTTGATATGAATTTGTAGATAACATGCTATCCATATAAACACAAAATTTAAGTTTCTATAATCTATTCATTCATTTCATACAAACACAAAATTACACAACCTCAATTTCCAACGCAAGGCTTCATAAATACTGCTTACTTGTTTGTTTGATCAGTTGTTGGTTTCAAATTCACAGACTTTGTTCATAAGGAAAAACAATGCACTTTTAGGAAGTTTGACATCTTAGCATCTTATAATGTATTTGATTAATGGGTTAGAACTCTATAATTTAACCTGTGATATACAAGTTTGTTATCCCAATCTATGAGGCTAGGGTTCGACAATCAAATTTATAAACACTACTACCACCTATGCGGTTATTTGTTTTGTTTCTCTACCTTTTAACAATTCGAAAAAATGTAGTTTTTAAAAAACTTATTCTTGTTTATGAGATTTGACTAAGAATTCAAATGTTGATGAAAGTAATGGTAAAGAAATGGTGAAAATGGAGTCTGGGTTTGTCAACAACAAGCCATCTAAGTTGTTAACTTGAGTATCCCCCAAAGGGCTAAGGCATTGATAACCTCCTTTAAAGATCTGAAGTTTAAATTTTCCACTCCTTGAGGAAGACTATCCATGCTATGTTAACCAACATCAAGATTACTCAAACTGAAGTCTCTATAACCTATTCATTCTTATGATGCAAACACAGGTTACACATGTTTAATCCCCAAACCAATGTTTCATAAAGCCCGGCCTGTTGAAATTATGAACTGAACATCCCCAGAAGAGGCTACAGTAGTTCTAGTGTCCCACTAAATAAAAAGCGGAAGAAATTGGGTGAAGCATTTTATCAAACATGTGGGCTGCAATGCATTCATTTCAAACTCACTAGTCCTTATCCAAGTAATTGATTAGTTGTTGGTTTTGTTTGTTCAATTAATCAAAGAGTACCGTAAATGAAGCCAAAAGTGAAAAAGAAAGAGGTAGAATACCATAGCCGCCGCGAGAAGTGAGCTTGGCCTGAACGATCATATTGGAGATGAAATGGGAGGCCTCCCGAGCTTCTTCGAGCAATTTACGAATCTCGGGATCGGAAGTCACATGGCGGCTCTCTTCGAACTTCCGACGAACCTCGGCAGCGGACTCCTTCAGCATCAAGGTATCGCCGGCGAACGACTTCTTGGTTGCCCTGAGCAACGCTCTGTAGGCGCTTAGAACTTCCCCTTTCACCATCCCTCTTGAAATCAGCTTCTCCGCTTCCTCACTAACAAAGACGCCCAAAAAGCGACGACGTCGTTTCATTCAAATGCCCTATTTTCATGTCCAATAAAGTAGTCAATGTTTTCTTGCAATATTTTTGTTAAAATTAGTGCATAAATTAATAAAAATTGCAATAATTATCTAAAATTAAAAATTTTATGGTGAAAAATTAATACAATTATAAAATGTGACGTTTTTCCTAAAATAAATTTCATTTTTATCTCAAATTTTATTTAAATTTTAATCTAATTTGGTATTTTAAAATATTTATTTCATAGAAATGTACTTTTTTAAAAATTAAAAAATATATATATTTATTAAGTAATCCATCAATATTTATATTATTTATTGCCTTATGAATAGATAATAATTGGATTATTTTAGATTTTGAAAGATAAATAATATTATTTATATTATTTATTGCCATATGAATAGATAATAATTTGAACTTTACCCCTTTATTTCAATTTTAGAGCTAAAATTATTGGTCCATTAATGATAGACAGTAAAATATTTTTATAAAAAATAACAAAATTATACCTTTTTCATAGCTCTGTTAAAACAGATACAAAAGAGTTCAGTTGAAAGTGAAACAAGATAACTTGACAGTGGGACTATGTTTTCTTCCCTGCCGATGTACCTGTGAGTGAGCGTCGGGAAGTCGGTGTTCTACAGTTCATACCAGCAGTCGACGTAGGTGTCAGCGAGGAATCTAGATACTGTAAGCTGCACTTTAAGGATGATCTCGAAACCGGGGATCCTTAGCAGTTGAAAATTCCAGGTCTCAGAGCATCAGGAGTTCAAAGTGTTTGTTGCCTCGTTTCGAGTTCGATGTTAGCTTCATCACCTCAGGGTGTCGACCATTCTACATTCGTGCTTCTTACGGCGACATCTATGGTGTGATTTCTGATCTGCAAATGTGTTCTCTCCTACAATTTCCATTCTAGAATCTGCATAGGATGCAATGCATGTGCATATCAGAAATTCAGAATCAAAATCAAAAGCAGCCACAGCCAGATGAACTTGTGTAAGTTCTTACAGATTAAGTAGAGACAGTTAAATGAACTTGTAAGTTCTAACAACAGCCAAGAAGAATTTCTTGAGCGGATAGCTGCATTTGTCATGATAGATTCAAGACAAAATTGCAGCTCCTTAAGAAAGTCACTATCAAAAGCATAGTCGAAAAAATAACAGTGATGTAAACGCCTAGATAAGATTAAACCCATGTCCGAAATAGACATTACAGATCACGAATCAAGAACGTAATGAATCAAGAACGTAATGAAAATACCATTGTAACGACCGAGATCCACCGCTACCAGATATTGTCCTCTTTGGGCTTTTCCTTCCGGGCTTCCCCTCAAGGCTTTAAAACGCGTCTACTAGGGGAAGGTTTCCACTCCCTTATAAAGGGTGTTTTGTTCTCCTCCCCAACCAATGTGGGACATCACAATCCACCCCCTTCAAGGGCCAATGTCCTTACTGGCACTCGTTCCTTTCTCCAATTCGATGTGGGACTCCCACCAAATCCACTGTTTTGTTTTCCTCCCCAACCAATGTGACACATCACAACCATGTTCATAAATCATCTTGAATACCATAATTCTACCGTGGATTGTTAGGAACCGCAACCCTCTACAACGGTATGATATTGTCCACTTTAAGCCTAAGCTCTCATGGCTTTACTTTTGGTTTTTCCAAAAGACCTCATACCAATGGAGATTTATTCCTTACTTGTAATAAATGCATGATAATCCACTTAACTAGCCAATATGAGACTCCCTCCTAACAATCCTCCCTTTAGTTGAGGCTCGACTCCTCTAGATCCCTCGAACAAAGTCCACCCTTTATTCGACACTTGAGTCACTTTTCGCTACACTTTTGAGACTCACAATTTCTTTGTTCGACATTTGAGGATTCTATTGATATGGCTAAGTTAAGAGCATGACTCTGATATCATGTTACGAACCACGACCCTCTACAATGGTATGATATTGTCCACTTTGATCGTAAACTCTCATGTTCAAAAGGACTCATACCAGTGGAGATGTATTCCTTACTTATAAACCCATGATCAAACCCCCTTAATTAGTCCATTTATAACTCCCTCCCAACCATCCTCAACATGGATCTAGTCCCAATATAGTCCGTTTTTTATGTTCTTCGATCCAAAGTATAAAGAACACAGCATGAGTCACACATTGATATCAATTTTACTAACGAAACTAGGATAAGAATACATTTGATATCATCAGAAATGAAGCATACGTTCACTTGAATATAGTTTACAGTCCATAGAATGCTAAATCTATAATCAGAATTCAATCATAGAGCTACTGAATTCGATGTCGATCATTTTACCCAAACTGCCAGTGGTTCTAAGCTCCAGATCAACATTTAAAGGTCAGAGACTCAATTAATTATTAACATTTATGAACTCTTGGGATGAAAGGAAGAAGAACACGAACCTCCGAGTCGTTCACCCCACAACAGCAATCTGGCATCTTCATCTTCCTCATCGATCTCATCACCATACCCAAATTCACCATCACCACGATAACCAGGTTCACTACCATACCCAGATTCATTTCCCTGAGCATCAGGACATCCATTATAACTAAACCCACCTCCCAAATGATGATCCTTCTCATCTCTCTCCCTCCTCGAATTCTTGGCTTCACTCACATCAGAAGACCAATTCGCATCCCCATTCACAAACAACTCCCCACTCGAATCAGTCCCAACCGCCAGGGGGAAATCTGAGCAAGTCCCATGGGCAGCCGAAGCTCCAACAGAGCAGCACCGCCTCGTCCCGCTACGATCGCTACTCCGCCCGGAAACCGACCTCGATCCACGTCGCCGCCGCTTCCTAGCGATCAATCCAAAGCTACATCGCGTGTAACGACCTGCCGCAATAGAAGGCTTGTCGTCGTCAATCAAACTCAACCTGGACATGTCGATGGCGTCGACATTGAAAGAGGTAGTTCGATCGGAGAGACAAGGGCGCTTGGTGTGAAGGGCGGTGGAAGAGTAGTAGGGTTTAGAAGTTGTGGGAGGTGAGATATGGGTATCGGAATCTAGGGTTTTGGGAGCAGAGTGGAGATGGTGGAAGGGTCTCCAGGTATGGAGCTTGAGAGTACAGGAGTCAATGGATTGGCGGGAATCTAGGGGTCTGCGAGACATGGGGAAGTGGGTTGGTTAAGAGGGTATTTGAAATGGGGAAGAATTGAAAGATGAAAACATCGGTTCAGAAGGATCGATGAGAAGAAGGAAAAGAGCTTTGAGGAGGAGAATTGTTCAGAATTTCTTAGAGAACCAGAGGGAGATGGAGATGCCACTATGAGACCAATTCCCTCCGGTCTCGAGGTTCCATGAGAATAGTTGTATTTATAGTTCAGTTTTTATCGTATTTCTTGTCATAAAATATGTTTGTAATTTGCATATTATATACATTGAAATACTATTTTAGTATTTATTTTCTAAATGTCTATGCACTCGAGGAGAAATAAGTTATGTCCAATCGATCTTCATAGACATGTCTATTTCATCGAAACTCTTTTCGAGACAGTACCTAGATTGTTATGCCTTTCGTGCGGGTCGAAACTTATCCGACAAGGAACTTCACTACTTTAGGACTGTTATAGTTACGGTCGCCGTTCACTAGGGCTTCGGTCGCCTGCTCCACTATCATCAGGTCACCAACTTCCTTGACCTTTCGATACTGGTCAAACGTCAGCTCCCATACATGGTCTTACAACTTTGCGGAGACTTGTGTTTTTGTTTTAAACTCATAGATTATGTTTTTATTATTTCAAAATTTTTATTTTTAAATTACGTCTATAATGAATGATTTTAACAAATTTTCTAAATATGGGTAGTATGATTAGGACTTTAGTCACATTTAAATTAGTATTGATAGAGAGAATACAAATTTGAGAAGTAGAGTTTTAATCAAAATTGTGCAGTACCTAGAAACGTCACGAAATGGTTAAAAAAAGACCAAAAGAAAAATAAAAAACGTTGGCTAATTTGGACAACCTAACAAATAAATGACATGAAAAAAAAAAACAATTGAACAAAGGAAGAGTTGCAGGGGACATATTTCCTTACTTCAAAGCCACGAATAAGTTAACTCACTTTACTAATATAACATCTTTTATGCTTTCTCCAATCCCAATTCCTAAAACTAAAACTATTCACATTACCATAGTGATCATAAGCGTCCTAAGTCCTTGCTTCACCTGGTCTTTTATAAGTTAGGAGGCTTCTTTACGTACGTAGAATGAATGCACACATGATATAAACCAATGAGTCTAAGGACGAACCAGTGAGATCTCCTTGTTACTTCTCTCGATGTCCTGTAGGCATCGATGGAGTGTCATACGGTAATTACCAAACTGGACGGCACTGGGTGGTTGCAAGACGAAAACATAGGAGATAGACCGAGACGTCAACATCGCCTTTTTAGTTGTTACTTTGTCTGGCAACTCACCGAAGCTTTTTTCGTCGTATGGAAATGACTCTGTTAGAGTGAAAAAGCTATCTCTCCCCAACTTCTCAACCTACAACAAAACAATGCCAACAAAAGTACTTTCAGAGTCCACAAAATGTATGGCAATTGGTAACTCACTGGATAGAACATTCATTAAGATGTTTCTATCATTTAGTTGTTGAGGATTGTTGGGAGAGGAATCCCACCTCGGCTAATTGAGGCCTTTTGGAATCCATTGGTACGAGGCCTTTTGGGAAAACCAAAAGCAAAGTCACGAGAGCTTATACTCAAAAGGGACAATATCATACCATTATGAAGATTCGTGATTCCTAACATGGTATCGGAATCATGCCTTTAACTAAATCATGTCAATAAAATCCTCAAATATCGAACAAAAAAGTTATGAGCCTCGAAGGTGTAGTCAAAAAGTGACTCACGTTGTTCGAGGGCTCCATGAGCCTCAGGGGAGGCCCAAGGAGGTTCTGAGGTGTAATTTGTTCAAGGGAGGATGGTTGAGAATTGTTGGGAGATAAGACACACATAGGCTAATTAAGGGGGCTGATCATGGGTTTACTTATAAGTAAGAAATATATCTCCATTACGAGGTTTTTTGGGGAAATTAAAAGCAAAGTCATGAGAATTTATTCTCAAAGTGGACAATATCATACGGTGGAGATTCGTGATTCCTAACACTAGTTTCAATCCTGAACAAAATTTTCATATTCAGAAAGAAGGAACAATTACCTGAAGTTGTGAAAATCTGATATTATTCATGGTGAGAATGACTCGAACCCCGTGAAGTGCAGTGGCCAACATCCGGACAGCCAGAAGATCAAAGAAATTATGTAGCAGAAGCTTCTCTATGACCAGATTTTCCTTCAAACTCGCAAAACGCGGAAACCACAATATACATTTAACATCAAACCAGGGAATTTGATTTTTCCCACTGGAAATGATGGTTTCATCGGGGTGGGAAAGTTCCCAAAATTTTCTTGCGTCCTTTAGTGCTGCATCGTAGACGTCTGAACGTGAAAGGTTGGTTGTACAAATTATTTTGGATGGATCGCAGTGACGAGCCAAGTTTGATGAGAAATGAAACCCGGCATCATCCATGACAAGAATGCTGCCACCTGATTTAGGAAAATATTTTTCAAGAGTCAAAGCATGAGCCTTTTCGTCTTCTGGCAGGCATAGAGTTGATTTAAATGAAGGAGAATTTGATGGACTCTGATCGTGAGAAAAGAAACAAGAAACTCCATTTCGACAACCCTGCCATAGAAAAGGTCATACTATTAGTTTTTTATGGGATTAGGGGAAAACCCCCCAACAAATCTTCGTGAAGCATATACTGAGAAGCAGCATCGATATATTAACCCAATTTCTTTTTATTTCTCATTTTTATTGACCCGTACAAGCAAAGCCTTAAATTTTATTTGATTGGATTTCCAAAAGCTAACAATTACTTTAGTCTTCAGGAAATGTAATCATCGTTCAAGCATTTCATTAGTCAGAAAAAAGATGGATATAATTGGCTCAATTTTCAAGCATCACCAGATAGATAGATACCTGGAGAGAGAAGAAAAATTTGCAAGTGGCTCTCCTTGATTGCAGTGAATGTGAAAACAAGCACTGATCGCCTCGATTGCAGGATCCATTGACAAAGTAAACACAAAGAGCGGTCCCATCATGGACATCAAAACCGTTGTTCAAAGAACTTAAGGACTGATTGTTTGGTTCTTTTCCATAAATAACTTTCATCTGTTCAAAAAAAAAAAAAAAAAGAAGTGTTAGTGAACAAACAACTTTCATAGGAAAGACAAAAACATGAGTACCTGTTTGATAACATCTGCCAACTTCCCAGCTACATGATTAGTTCGGGGATAGCTGGAAGCAACATATGGTAGAGATGCACAGGTTCTTGATTCACTTGATTGGTCAACTCCATTTTCGTGACATTTGAGAATGCATGAATGTTGAAACTGAGGAGTGTTGGATGATCTTAGAATGTCGCACATACCCAAAAATCTGGGTCGAAACTGGTGCAATGTATGTATGATATCTTCATCTGGAGTGGCAGACAAAGAAAAGTCTAGGATAAACTCTTAAGGAATATAAAGATGCAAAAGGAAGCAAGATCTGCTAAAATGAAATAAAGAACAATTGAAGCACGGTGATTATGATAAAGTCCATACACATTTCAGAGACGTGATTTAGAGATGAATGCACAAGACTGTGAAAAGAACACCATTCTTCTTCATCCTTGGAAGGTGTTGATGTCGTAGCTTGTATTTTATCAGACTTCACGAGTTTGTTCAAATATTCAACACGAATTTTATCCTATTAAGGAAAAGAGGACTAAATTTTATGCCCATAATTGGAAACAAAGTAATAACTATTCAAACCAAGAACTATACCTTATAAACTCTTTCCCAGAACTGGAACGCATGCAAGTTTCCTATCAATGCCATTTCTTTAAATCCAAGTGGAATTGTATCAATGCTCTCTCCATCGAAGTAGCTTTTTATGTACTCTGCATACTGTATCAGATAGCTTTCAAAGTTGATTAAAATGCAGGCAAGTGTTAAATAGGGGAATCCAAGTAAATAACAATCAAGAAATACCAAATTATTCTCTCCGAACGGACGAAGTACTGGTAAAGGCTGTGTATCCATTAATATGCCAAGCAAAATTCCTTCATGGAGCATTCCAATGTCTCCAAACTTCAGTATCAGCACAGAAGAATCAAAAGACAGTGAGAAACTGGCTAGTAGACTTCCATAATATGTAGGTTCATATCGGCCTCTTGGAGTTTTTTTAAGTGCTTTCATGCGAACAAGAAGATTCAATGCATCTTCAACAACATTGCCATCAGGTGGATCGAGAGCTTTCTGCAGCAAAACTACAATCGGTGTTCCATAAATCAATGTGCATCCAGTTTAGATAATAGTAACACCATATACAACCCATTATATACACGTACAAAATGTTAAAAAAGAACAACACCAGAGGATCAACAGCAATCATACTAATTGCCACAACCTAGTCAATAAGTGTACACCTACACTTTCAACAGACATACGTAGACTATTATTATTATTTTTAATTAATTCCAGATCGGTTTATCAAAAACTATAACTAAATGAAATTAAACAAGTGTATTAATCAATTAGACTGCTGAATTTGCGTTTGATGATTACTGTAAAAAGAAAAACAGCAATGGATTTCATCCATGGATATGACAGCATCCTATTTACAATAAAGCTAATTTAATAAAGATCATATACTAAAGCTCATTCATATGAGAAGGAAAGTATTTGAGGATGGGAGAGGGGACTTTCTTTTTTCTTTGTCTAAAGTTCTAATTCCATCAAATTGAAATTTGAACTTAATGTTGTAAAGTAATGCTCTCCATTAGTTGAGTTTCCTTTTTACTTACGTCTATGCAGGCTACTTTGTAGCTGCCAGTTATTGGGGGCAATATTGGCTTTTTTGGGGGGTGTGTTTGAATGTTTTGGTCGATCATATCCTCCTTAAACTAGGCAATGAAAGTTATGAACGCCCCTCAATATGTTTTTGTGATTAAAAATAAATCATTCATAAAAAAGGGAAAAGTATATCCTCCTTAAACTAGATAATGAAAATTATGAACGCTCCTCAATTTAACAAAAAAAGCTTTCACCAAGAGAAAACTATCATACCAGTTGGATCGTTAATTGCTTTGGATTCTGTTGAGCAAATTAGAAGCACTTGCTGCCTCAATGATAACCTCAGTATAGCTGGTCGTTCAAAATCTTCAAATTTGTGGTAAAATGATCTTGGTACCAATCGATAAACTTGGCCATCACAGGTTCGACCAGTCCTTCCTCTACGCTGCTCAGCCTGAGGCATATTGCAGTATAAAGAGATGAAATTAGTCAAATTACCAAACTCCTTTTTTTGGAAATTCTGCAGTTATATGGAAGTCCTCAATCTGACTTCTCATTCACATTTGTAACATTACAAATTGTTAAGTTCATCTATTGAAATGGGTGGGTGGGGGGCTATCAAAGGTGATAATCACAAAAAGGAAGTAAAAGTAATGGATAGAAAGATATGTATTTGATAGTGAGAGGGTGGTGAGTGGAGAAAGAATCTAAAAATGAAAACATAGAAAAGGGGAGAGTATAATTCTTTAAAGGTCCACTTTAATACAAAGTAATAAGAATGGAAAGCTGGAAGTACGGAGGTTGGAAATTGGAGAGTTAAGAATAGGTTGCTTGTGTTTTATTTGTATGATGAGGAATGAGAATTGTAGAAATGTAATATAGATTCATATTTATACATTATCTAAAATCCAACTATATTGTTGCCAAAGCCCAATGGTGGATATGTACTATGCCGAATGTAGGAAGGCGTTCTGAAGCCTGTCTCTCCTTTCATTACCATTTACCACAAACCAAACACACTCTATGAGACAAAAGGGGTATAGCACTAAAAGTTAGGTCCTTCGGTGTTTCTGCAGGTGCAATCATATGTTTTATCTTCTGAATTATATAGATGTACAATAATGAATAGAGAATCTCATTAGAAAATTATTGTTCAAAAAAAAAAAAAAAAAGCCAAGATGTTAAGAGTAGAACTTAGGTGAACAAGATTTGACACAGTATACCAGATCATTTACCTGAGATTTAGAAATCCAGACAACCTGTGCGGAGTCCTTTTTCTGATTATTATCCCAAAACACTTGTAAAGACCTGCATGTATCGATTACATATGCTACTTTTGGTATTGTGACGGATGACTCAGCAATATTTGTTGCTAATATCACCTGCAGGAAAAATTTTAAATGCAAGATGTTTGAATAACAGTGTAAAAAAAATTGAGACGGTTGCCCGAGCTTATCAAGAACCATGGGGTCATCAAATTCCAAACCAAGTGTGGAAGTCTCGAATGATCAAATATAGAGAATAAAACAGCAATCAACTTACAAGCATTGTCAGAAACACAAAGCATTGTCAGAAACACATTCAAATTAGATGTCATATCACTTGCTTTACATCTAAATTAAAAACTTTTATATCACCTTTATTTCAGGATTAGTCATTTATTGTTTAAAAAGGGTGGACGTACCTTACGATGTGATTTCCAAATCCTCATTGCTGTCAAGGCTTGCTCAATGTCAATACTGCTATGTAAAATATAAACCTTAAAAGAACTAAGTGACTTCAGAAGATGCCACTGTTGCTCCAGTGAATAATACGTGGGAAGAAAAATCAAGATACTCTTTTCAATGTCAGACTCATTCTTATGAATATGCAACAACAGATTGTGAATCAGTTTGTGCACTTCAGGCTTAATTTCCACAGAAGATGTGGAAGAGCTGAAACCATTAGAAGATTGTAAATCTGACTCAATCCCAAGTAATTCATTTACCTGTCAATGGAGAAATAAATCATAATTAAAACAAAATAACTCAGAGACTATCACTTATGTTCTATCAGCACAATTTCGTTCTAAGATCACTGCTTGTCCTATACAAACATTTTTCCATATATTTTTAAGTTGCAGACATAGTTCTAAACTCCTTTCTGAACATGGTTATAACACTATCAAAACAATCAGCACCAAAGTAATTCGAAAATTGCTAGCACATTGAACCAACTTCCAAACATGGAGCAAACATACACAATCATGTGGTTTACAGAACCAGTAAAGTACACAACATCAATCACAAAAAATAACAAGGGCTCACCTCTTCAAGATATGAAACCTTACATTCAAAGAAAGTTTTCTGGCTTGAGCTAGGGATTGCAAGCACTTCAACACGTTCACCTCTACCAAGTTCCTTGAAATAATCTCTATACCTTCCAATATCAGCGGTTGCTGACATCAATACCACCCTACAAAAATTTAAAATATTAGCTCCCGAGTGTTATTTGTGGCCAAATCAAGAAAAAAAAATTAGTTAAATTTCTAACAAGGACTGGTAAGGGAAAGAACTAACCTGAGATCATGGTTCTTCAACAGAAACTGCTTCACGCACACAAGAACAAGATCAGACTCCACAGATCTTTCGTGCACTTCATCAAGTACAATCACCTTGTAATCGAGTGCCTTTAACCCCCTGTCTCGCATTTCTTCCAACAAAACCCCAGCCGTTTTGAAAACAATCTTCGATCTGGATGCGTGAAGCGTGAAGCATTGGTAAAATTTTACAAGAATACAATTTAAAATACAGTAAGCAAAAACGACTTACAAATTAATGTGAAATTGAAGATTCAATTATCAACAGTTATATTACGTACCTTTCCGATGAATGCTTCGAGTGACCTATATGATATCCAACCTCTTCTCCCACGTTACAGTTACGAGCTCTAGCAACCATATTCGCAATGGCAACTACAGCAAAACGCCTAGGCTGCGTACAAAGAATAGGCCCCATGTCTTCGTCCAGAAGAAACTGAGGAATTTGAGAGCTCTTACCTGTAAACGCAAGGAAATAGAACCTAATAAGCAGAGATAGACCATAACTACTACAATCGAGCAAAAAAACTAGTAACAATACAGCTTAAACCGATAGACAAGCAAATAGCAAGCGTTGCCTTCCCGTAAACCAACCATCATCCATCCTCTATTTTCCATCTCTTCCCCATTCTCTTAAAAAATTCAAGTCATCGAGTACAATATGGCTAAGTTGCAGTACACACAAATGAAAAAAAGAATATATGTGTGTATAATCCATCAGAAACAACGATCATAACGAGAACTGTAAGTTCATGCTTCCTTCAACCAAAAGACGATAAACCACTAGTAATACACAGTACGAAGATAGCATACCACAGCCAGTTTCGCCGACGATAAGCGTGATGCGATTCTTGCGGATTTTCTCAACGATTCTCTCCTTGAGCGACATGACCGGTAAAGCAGAGAAATCGAACGGCGACGATGATAACGACGTCGACGAAGAAGAAGAAGAAGAAGAAGAAGAAGAAGCCATTGAAGCGAACCTTTTCGTCTTTCTTCTCTCTCAGAATGGTTCCTCTGGTCTCCGTAGTCGTTGTGCTCCCGCCTTTAAAGTTTACTGGACTGATCTAGGAAGGAGAGGAACGGGGATTTTATATCTTGACACGACGGTCACATGCTTGTCTTCGGTCATTTGACCAAAAGGTAAGGGTAAAATTGGAAATTTCTGGTGCGGAAAATGCTCCGAAAATTGGTTTTGTGTACGGCAAACTTCGTGCGCAAGGCTTTGGCAAAATACGTGGGCCCCGATTTTTATTTTCTCTCTCCGTTAGTTGTCCATATTATCACACGATTCATTCTTTATTTTCTCACTTTTTTTTTAATAATGTAAAATTAGTCGCACATAAAGTATATTTTTAATTAAATTATATTTTTCAAATGTAAATAAATAATTATAATAATAAAATAATAAAATTATTTAGAATTGACGTGTAGTCATAAATAACAAGTCTTACATAAGCATAAATATAACACGTTGTTCATATTTATAGAACATGCACGTTGTGTATATATTTGTGATTATTTGGACTATGTTTCTACTAAGTGTCGATTTGATCGACTCGCTATTTGTATTGTTCATTTTATTATTTTATGGTAAAAAAAAATTTGATGACTGCTGGTACATTTTCAGAACCTGTAATGGCTCATATCCACTACTAGCAAATATTTGCTTTCTTTTTGGGCTTCCCTTTAACGTTTTAAAATGCGTCTGCTACGGAAAGGTTTCTACACCTTTATAAGAGTGGTTATTCTCCTCCTAACCAATACGAGACATCATAATCCACCCCCCTTCAGGGACCAGCGTCATCGCTGGCATTCTTTCCTTCCTTCGATCAATGTGAGACCACCCCCTTGGAGCTAGGATTCTTACTGGCACACCGCCTCGTGTCTAGCCCCTTTGGAGAACAGTCAGAAGGCTGGCACATCGTCCGGTGTTTGACTTTGATACCATTTGTAACGGTCCTGACCGCTACTTATATGATAAGTCGAGTTGTTACAAAACCAATTGACTATAATTATATGACGACGACAATAATTGAACTCAAAATAAGGATAAAGAGTTATAAATTGACTCGAGATAAATTGTTTTGTTGACCTCTCGTGTTTGGGGATCATGTCTATTGGGTTCATAGGTATCACGATCGAACCCTTCTCCTTTCAACACCACATTTTGTCTTCTCCGACTGTTACGAGCTGGTGTCGATAGTCTCCTCTACCTTGATGCTAAAAACAACGCCACCACAGATAATCAATGGGTTTTGCAGTGAATTGGGGGCAAAAATGGAATTTTGATATATTTTTTATTTTTTAATAATAATAATAATTTACCCGTTGATTTTTTATTATAAAAAAGAAGAAGAAAGAAATCAATAATTAAGTATATAGTTGATTGGGATGTTATGCAATTTAGTAAATTTAAAATAAAATTACTTTTTTGCCCCAATTTCCCGCAAAACCCGAACAAAAATCCATTATAGTCGGGTAATTTTAGTCGCAAATTTCCACTCCGTCACAACGGCTCGAGTCACACCGAACATAACTCGCAAACCAGAGACTCCGATTCAGTGGTAACCTCGAGAGATTCATAAGATGGCTTCAGGCTGGGGAATCACCGGGAACAAGGGCCGATGCTACGATTTCTGGATTGACTTCAGCGATTGTATGTCCCGCTGCCGAGAACCAAAGGACTGTGCTCTACTCCGTGAAGATTACCTGGAGTGCCTCCACCATTCCAAGGAGGTGAGACCTTCCATTTCCCTTACTTTTTTTCACGTCTGTTTTGTTTTTCCTCCAATTTTTCATGTATAAGTTAGATTAATTGCCTGAATAGGGATTAGATGTGTGGTTCTTTGATTCTTCGAGCCTCTGATGCCTAATGCGACCTTGGCTCATGTTTTCAACATCGCATCCGGAGGCGGTTGCCTGAGATTTGGTTTAGATCTGTTTTTCTATACAACTACAAAATTTCTGTAGGAACTTAAATTGTGATTACTTCGATTTTCGAGGCTTTAGGAGCTAGTGATCGATTAGGGAAAGGTTGAGTCGTATCAATGAAAATAAGAAGGTTCTGTGGCTTCCAGTTCGAGTTTCACATTGTTTCTCAATCTTTTGATGTATGTTTTAGAGTTATCATTAACAAGAATGAATGTTTTATAAAAGCAGGGTGGAGCTCTCAGTCTAAGCTTCTTACATTTTTTGTTACTCGGATAATTAGAGGACGGGTTATCTCCTTTTTCTTAAAGTGAACAGCTTACCACACATTGCTTGTTATTGCTTATCACGATTGCCTCCTTTTTACTAAGTTGGATTAGTGAAAGTTATAGTCTTTTTAGGCATTCTGTTAAATCGCAACAGTATGATTTTATGCTTGTAAGTCCTTGAACTCTGAGGTTTCTGTCTATTTGATCCATGAACTTTCAACTGTGTGCTAAGATCACAAAATTTTCAATTTGATGATGAATATATCTATGAAAATTCTAAATTAATTGACATATTCGATATAAATTTGAATTTTAAGTCTAATGAAACCATACAATTTCAAATTTGTGTCTACTAATCTATGATTTTTTAAAAATTCGAAAGCAATTTGAAAATTGGATAGTTTATGGGCTAAATAGACACAAGGCTCAAGGTTTATAGACTAAATTTATTATTTAACCTCTTTTCCAAGGATATGAATATATGCACAATCTCTTTGGAGAAATAATTCTTGGAGGCCAGAACAATGTGATTGTGGTTTTATATCTTTGCATGTAAGAGAGAGAAACAAAGAAATTATGGTTTACCATGCATCCAAGGGATTTTTTTTTGGGGTGGGGGGG